CTTTTAAGTTTTTCCATATTTATAACTTATCAGTATGTAAAATATAAAATCTCTCCACTGATCATAAATTTCCAGATTTATACATCGAGCATGATTTGTGCATTTGCTTTTATATATATACATATATACATTGAATTGATCTCAAATTAATTCTTAGCATACTAAAACATCATAATATGTTATTTATAAATATATAACATATTTATTATTATTTATCACAAAAATATTCAAATTTTTTGGGGTTTTACACAATAGGAGGGAAATCACGCTAATGGATAAAAGGTATATGATACTTATTCCCAATATCATAAGAAAAAATAAGATTAACTTCCTTTATTTTTTCATATACAGTGGAATGATTATGCGCGCAATTTTATTTGGGGATATGGCTACAAACAAAGGATCAATTCTTGAAGCCGAAATCAAAGATAAGCTTGTAATATCATTATTAGATTATAAAATCTCTATATTTAAAGGTACATAATTTATTACTAAAATTCTAATTAAGATATCTAAACATAAAATTCATCCTATAATTATCTCAATTTTGCAGGTGAGACAAGCATATCGTCGCAAATTGTATCAACATTATGTATCAACCCAAAAATACAACTAGCTAAAGAATTAAGGGAATGGTAAATAGAACAAGCATACTTTCATATAACCCAATAATGAAATAGTATTATATTTTAATCTAATATACATGTTTCAATTACAAGAAGCTGCAAAAACAAAAGGATCTTCGTTGACACTTTTTATAAATGCAAAAGAAATTTAAATTAGTGATATTATGCATACATCACAAAATTCGATACATGCACAATATTAGAAAGCTATTCTTATTAAACACATTTAAATCTAACTAAATTTTATCAATATACAGATACATTATTGCACATTAAGGCAAGGATAATTACTGTTTTAAATAGACTCGAGCCATGATTCTATGCTTGCAAAGGCTGCAACAAGAAGGTAGATAAAGTGTTAGTAACGTGTGTCTGAATGATAAATGTCGCAGAATCATTGATGACTCAGTACCAAGGTAAAGTAATATATCTTTTTTTATGTCATGAACATATTAAAATACAATATTAACTATCTCTTGAAATCAACAATGAAAACTACAAGTACGTAGTTAAGATTCTCGTGGAAAATAGCACAGATAATGCAAGAGTAACACTGTTTAATTCAGCAGAAACACTTATTGGATGCACAGTAGGAAAAATCATTACAGAAAAAGAGGTAATTCCTAACTCTATTCAAGTAATAATTTATAAAAACAAAAAAATTCATATATACTAATATAACATTTGTTCTCATTGCAACATAAATATAATCAGAGTCCATATTTCCAGAAATTTGTGTTGAACATCGAAAAAACGTACAAATTCCTAGTGAAGTTAGATGAAAAGACAAAAGATAAACGAGGTGAAAGAAATATAATAGCATAAGAAATTCAACTTCAGCCTGATATTACAATCGACGTAGATGATCGATGAAGATGCTACTCTAGAATTCCCCAGGAAAAAGATAAAGGTGGAGAAAGATTAATCTCGGTTCAATAAAAATATAAAACAAAAATAATAAAGGATAATATTTTTTGATCATTTTATATCATAACTTAATTTTTGAGTAGAAATAGGAATTTTTATAAGGGATTTCCATGCAAAATTATTAGAAGTTTTGTATGCTTATGTGATTGCTTTCATCACATAAAATTATACTATAGTTATCATTAATATTTAGTTTTTATCTTTTTATTACTTTAAGTCAATCAAATAATGTAAGTTGAGATTATCTAACCATTTTATGTTCTTTCATTTATTAAGAAAATACAACCATCTAGACATGTTCATGTCTGTTTTTTGAAATTCGTGCTTTTAGAAATCCTGAGTACACCCATGTGCAAGTTACTTTTGTTTGCATATATAAGGTTAATATTGATTTAAGTGGGATCTTATGTACACTTTCCCTCAGAGAAATGGAGTTTTTTTTGATATTTTTCTTAATTGGACAAATTTTAGGGTTTTCAGGGAAAAATAGTTCCCTATCGTTTTGTGAAATTTACTATTTGTTAGTTATACTAGCTATTGCTTTAGATACTGGTAAGTGTGAAATTTGCTATTTGTTAATTATACTGGCTATTGCTTTAGATACTGGTAAGTGTTCAGTGTGATAACAAACTTTCAACTTAAATTCCTTTTGTTTCTTAGGGTGTGATGTTTCTAATAACTTGGTAGTAAAGAGGTTTAAAAAATTCAAAAGTTCTGTTAGGTCTATTAATATTTTTATGATTACTATTGAGATTGTTTATTATAAAACATGAGCTTATAATGTCCCAATGTGTTGTGCAATTTTATTTTTTTACTATTGAGATTGTTTATTATAAAACATGAGCTTATAATGTCCCAATGTGTTGTGCAATTTTATTTTTAATGTAATAAGAAATATTATAAAACATGAGCTTATAATGTCCCAATGTGTTGTGCAATTTTATTTTTAATGTAATAAGAAATGTTGTCTCTTTTTTACTAGAACATTAGTTCATAATGATATTGCTACTCATGCTTGACTCCATATTTTATTTTGAGATTAATAGAGTTTGGAATATGACATAAAGTATTAATTTAACTTATTTTCTTTTACTATTCTACTTGAAGATATTATTATGCCATTTGATATTTTTTTCTTGTTAAGCTTATAATATCCAAAAATGTTGTGCCATTCTATTTTAATGCAATAAGAAATGTGATTTCTTTATTTCTATAACTATAGTTCATATTGACAATAATAATATCCCAGTTAGGTATATTCATCTCAGTTTAGCTTAAAAATCTATTATATTAATTTTTAATAACATTTAAATAAAAATAATAGTAAATCTAATAATTCAATTTTATATATTTGAACCCAAGATGAATCTATATTATTTATAGTAATGAAATAAATGTAAAAGAAAAATATTTTGATATTTAACCACGTGCACTGCACGTGCATAAAAACTAGTAAGTCTAAAAGCAAGTTGAATTAGACTTAACATAAAAGTCTAATTTCATGGACTTAACATGAAATTAGACTTAAAAAAAGTTGAATTAGACTTAACATGATTAAATTAAACTTTAAAAGAATTTAACATGATTGAAATTAGACTTAAAATAAGTTAAAATAGACTTAACATTATTCATGTTAAGTTTAATTCAACTTGTTTTTAGACTTAAAATAAGTTAAATCAGACATAACATGATATAAATTAGACTTAAAATGAATTAAATTAGACTTAACACGAACCGAATTAGACTTAACATGAACCAAAATGGACTTAACATGAATCAAATTGGACTTAATATGAAATCAGAGTTAAAACAAGTTGAATTAGACTTAATGTGATTTATGTTAAGTCTAATTCAACTTGTTTTTAGACTTGAAATAAGTTGAATTAGACATAACATGATATAAATTAGACTTAAAATGAATTAAATTAGACTTAACATGTACCGAATTAGACTTAACACGAACAAAAATGGATTAACATGAATTAAATTGGACTTAATATGAAATTATACTTAAAACAAGTTGAATTAGGCTTAACGTGATTCATGTTAAGTCTAATTCAACTTATTTTTAGACTTAAAACGAGTTGAATTAGACATAAGATTATTTAAATTAGACTTAAAAGAAGTTAAATTAGACTTAACATGAATTAAATTGGATTTAACATGAAATTAGATTTAAAACAAGTTAAATTAGACTTAACATGATTTAAATTAGACCTAATATAAGAGCAATTGTACTTAACATGAACCAAATTGGACTTACCATGGTTTAAAATTGGACTTAATATGAACCGTATTGGACTTAATATGAATCAAATTGGACTTAACATATAATCCATGCTAAGTCTATTCCATTTTATTTTAAGTCTAATTTCATGTTAAGTCCAATTTAAAGTAGACTTAACAAGATTTAATTTAGAATTAAAACAATTTAAATTAGACTTAAAATGATTTAAATTGGACTTAACACAAACCAAACTGGACTTAACACGAACCAAATTGGATTTAACACGAATCAAACTAGACTTAACATGAACTAAACTGGACTTAACATGAAATAAATTAGACTTAACACTAAATTAGACTTAAAAGAAATTAAATTAGATTTAATATGAATCAAATTAGCCTTAACATGAAGTAAAATTGGACTTAACATGAAATTAAACTTAAAATAAGTTGAAATAGATTTAACATAATTCATGTTAAGTCTAATTCAACTTATTTTAGACTTAAAATAAGTTGAATTAGACATAACATGATTTAAATTAGACTTAAAAGAAATTAAATTAGAGTTGAATTAGACATAACATGATTTAAATTAGACTTAAAAGAAATTAAATTAGACTTAACATGAATCAAACTGGACTTAATATATAACATGATTTAAATTAGACTTAAAAGAAATTAAATTAGACTTAACATGAATCAAACTGGACTTAATATAATACAAATTGGACTTAACATACAATTAGACTTAACATGATTTATGTTAACTCTAATTCAACTTATTTTTAGACCTAAAACAAGTTGAATTAGACTTAACATAATTTAAATTAGACTTAAAAATAATTAAATTAGACTTAACATTAATCAAACTGGATCTAACATCATAGATCTAGAGAGAACGAAAATGGAGGAAGAAATGATGGTATTTTGGGTTTTTCTGTTTGTTTCTCTCTCTTTGTGCTTAGTTGGCATGATAATTACATGAAAAAGGTGCTACAATACATTATGTGACATTTCTCGGGGCTGAACCACATGGAGAAAAAAATAAAGATGCTGCAGCACATAAAGATTTTGTTTTTGGGACATTGACATAATTTTCCCAAATAACAGACAGAAAAGCAATTTTACTTTATAAGAGGAAAATATAATCAACCCGTTCGCGGGTCGGGTTTGGTAACCTATTGATGGGTCTGGGAAGGAACCAAAACAGGCCCACATCATCCCCCCCCTCTTTCTCCCCTTCTCTCTTCAATGTCCACGTACGGATTCATCCTCGCCTTCGTATATATCGGCGCGGGGAAAGGAGCAGTAACTCAGCTCCATCGATGGAGCCGGAGGTTGTGAGATCGGAGATGGTCCTTCCACCTGTTCTGGGGTTCAAGAAGATCCAGATGGCCGACAAATACCCAAAGGGCCAGTCGAGGGCGAGACACTGGAAGCACCTCAAACAACTCCTCCAATCCGAGAACAATTTCCAATCTTACCCTCCAAACGAACCCAACTGTGAGTAGTCCCCCTCATCTCTCCCCCCCTCAATCTAGGGTTTTTAGATTTGGCATTTTTGATTCATAACAAGTTCGTAACGCGATCTTTTCCTCTTTGGTTAGGATCATCACGTGTTTTCTTAAGATTGGTTTAGATTTCGATTTCTCCTTTTGTTAGGGTTTTGGTTTTAGTGTTATGTTAAGTCGGTTTTCCTTTTTTCCCCTCAGGGGGGAAAAACGAACCAATTTTCCATTCGGTGAATTTAAGCAAGAACAAAATTACTAGGGTAGGAAAGGGAATTCATATCTAGGCTCCCCGCACGCCGGCGAGGAGTTCTGAGACAACCAAACGGGGAAGGGAAATCCCTAAACTACCCCCTTACGCCGCCATGAATGGTATAGACCAACCTCCTTGTATGTGGTGGGGCTCCGATACAGTTGGGCTCGTAGAAAGGTTATTCTGTTGTCTTATATATATATGAGTTAATTTTAACATTTCATCACTTCACCTGTATAAACATACTGCCCTCGTCCCTGATGGAGCCAATTTTTTAGAAAGCGCTAGGCCCTTCTAGACGCCAGACCTAGTGTCTAGCGCCCAGACGCCTAGGCGTTTTTAATGTCAAGAGTGGAACGAGTGTTTTCGAAGATTCAGATCAATATCTTCACTGTTTTACCTGAGATGAACTTGGACGTAAAGTTTTGACCTGATCCATTTTAACGCTCGTTCATTTCATCTGTAACTATGCTTGAACAAGCAATATACCCCTTTCGAACCCAGTGCGGTTCTCGTAAGCAGCTTGTGCTCCCTAGGTGCTCTCAAGACTTAGGTGGGCCGTCTAGGTACTGCTTAGGTTTAAGCGTTCGCCTAGGTGGGCGCCCAAACCACTCTTTAAAAAAATGGATGGAGCAATGATATTTGGGCGACTTGAAGTGGTAAACAACCTCTCAAATATAGTCATCTTGTGGAATTTGTAGCCTCTGGATAGAGATATTGGGTATAAGATTTGAAATTGAATGATGGTTAGGACTTGCATGATTGGATCTTAACTTAGTTTTCTACAAGTAGGAAACATGGTATAAGTTCCTGATGACATGTAGGTTAGATGGAAATAAAGGGGCATGGATGGTTGGGTTGTTAGAGATGTTTGAAGATTTCAAATGGTTCGTTGATAGAGTATGCAGTTTGTTAGGATTCTTTTGGTTCAAGTCAGCAAACAACTCCTACTTCTAAGGAGCTCGGTGTAGTTTGTTTGTTTTTGACTGTTTCCTTAGCTAATCAACCACAATATAGGAGTTTGTTAGATCGTGGGCTGTTTTTATGCGTTTCTGTTACATATATTGGCTTTATAAGCCAGAACCTTTCATCAATTCAATAAGGTTGTTTTTCATCAAAACATCTGTGTGAGCTTGCTGTGAATTAGTCTCCAACAAGTGGTATCAGAGCCCCATCATTGGGGCCTGGTTGGGTGAAGAGAGACAGAGTGTGAGTCAAACACTGAGAGAAGAAGTGAGTGTGTCGAAAGAATGACAGAAAGCAATAATGGCAAGTATGTGCAACCTGCCATCCCTAAGTTTGATGGCTTTTATGAGCACTAGGCGAAGCTGATGGAGTATTTCCTTCGCTCCAAAGAGTATTGGAGTCTTGTAGAGAATGGAATCTCGACTGTGCTAGAAGGAGCAGTGCCTACAGAGACACAAGCCAAGCTGATTGAGGAGCAGAAGCTGAAGGATATGAAGATAAAGAATTATCTTTATCAGACCATTGATAGAGAAATCATGGAGACCATTCTCCACGATGATACAACCAAGCAAATTTAGGACTGAAGCAAAAGTTCCAAGGTTCAACAAGAGTGAAGAGAGCACAGCTGCAGGCCTTACGCAGAGACTTCGAAGTCCTCAGCATGAGGGAAGGTGAAACAATCAATTCATTCTTTGCACGTACATTGGCTATAGCTAAGAACATGAAAGCTTGTGGTGAGAGTATGCGTGAGAATGTGATTACTGAGAAGATCTTGAGGTCCATGGTCTCGAGGTTTGACTACGTGGTATGCTCTATAGAAGAATCATATAACCTGGAGACAATGATAATTGACGAGTTGCAGAGTAGCCTCCTCGTCCATGAGCAGAGAATGAAGAGTCATGATGAAGAAGAACAGGTGCTAAAGATCTCTCATGAAGATAGAGTAGGGAGAGGCAGGGGAAGAGCTGCTTTTAGAGGAGGCCGAGTAGAGATAGAGCGAAACAACCTTTCAACAAAGCAGTAGTTAAATGTTTTAAGTGTCACAAGTTGGGCCATTATCAATATGAATGTCCTGACTGGGAGAAAAAGGCAAATTATGCTGGACTCAATGAAGATGAGGAGCTCCTTCTGATGTCCTATGTTGAGCTCAACAATTCAAAGAAGGGAGGTGGTTTGGTTTCTCGACTCAGGGTGTTCGAAGCACATGACGGGGAATAAAGAATGGTTTGTGGATCTTGATGAACAATTCAGGCACTCAGTGAAGCTAGGAAATGATTTCAGAATGTCGGTAATGGGAAGAGGCAACATCAGGATTCAGGCTCGATATAAGAGGTGTAACTCAGGTAATTTCAGATGTGTACTATATGCCTGAGTTAAAAAATAACCTTTTGAGTATTGGTCAACTGCAAGAGAAGGGGTTAGCCATCTTGATTCGAGATGGAGAATGCCGGATCTATCATTCTAGGAGGGGGCTCATTATGCATACACATGACTTCCAACAGAATGTTCGTTCTACTTGCAACCTTGAAACCACAATCTTCACCGTGTCTGAATGTTGCTTTTGAAGACATATTCGAGCTGTGACATCGAAGATATAGACACCTGAATCACAAGAACCTGAGAATCTTACAGTACAAAAAGCTAGTAGAGGGGCTGCCACGCTGCCACAATTTAATGCTTTAACTAAAATGTGTACGAGTTGCATGAAGGGGAAACAACATCGAGAAGCTATGCCAAGAAAGAGTCAGTGGAGGAGTTCACAGCTACTTCAATTAATCCATACTGATATATGCGGCCCTATAACACTGGAGTCAAGCAACAACAAAAGGTACCTATTGACATTCATTGATGATTGCAGTAGAAAGACTTAGGTCTATTTGCTTGTTGAAAAGTGAGGCATTTATGTTTTTCAAGTACTTTAAGAATCTTGTTGAGAAGGAGTTAGAGTTATCCATATGTTGTTTGAGGACAGATCGAGGTGGGGAATTTACATCCAAAGAGTTTAATGAGTTTTGCAAAGTCCATGGAATCAAGTGCCAACTTACTGTAGCCTACACACCCCAACAAAATGGGGTTGTAGAGCGCAAAAATCGTACCATAATGAATATGGTTCGATGTTTGCTCTCTGAAAAGGAGATGCCTAAGCCATTTTGGCCAGAAGCGGTGAGATGGGTTGTTCATGTGCTTAATCGAAGCCCAACCGTAGCGGTGAAAGATAAAACACCAGAAGAAAGATGGAGTGGAGTAAAACCTAGCGTGGAGCATTTTCGGGTCTTCGGTTGCATAGGGTATGTTCATATTCTAGATGCAAAGAGAGTTAAGTTGGACGACAAAAGTCATAGATGTGTACTGCTCGGTGTAAGTGAAAAGTCAAAGGCTTACAAGCTCTAGGACCCGGTGACAAAGAGAGTGGTGGTTAGCCGAGATGTGCAGTTTAATGAAAATGAGAGCTGGAATTAGGGGAGGTGTGAAGATGAGGCTAAGGCCGATGTTCTGGAATGGGATGAAAGTGATGCAGATGAAGGTGAAAGTGAAATTGAAGAAGACCAGCATAATGAAGAACCTAATTCTAATGAGGGTTCTGGAGCACGCACACCGAGTCCACCTGAACAAAATGTATCCGACTTACTCGAAACAAGAAATAGAAGGCAGCCCGTATGGATGCAAGACTTTGAGAGTGGAGAGAGGCTCTCTGAAGATGATAACGAGCAGAATTTGGTGATGTTCATTTCACAAGAGGATCCAACTAGCTACGAGGAAGCAACTAGGAATAAGAAGTGGAGATTGGCTATGGATATGGAAATTGAGGCGATTACAAGGAATGATACTTGGGAGCTGGTTAATCTGCCTGAGGGAGCAAAAACAATGGGAGCAAAATGGGTGTATAAAATGAAGCTGAATGAGAATGGGAGATAGATAAATGCAAGGCTCGGTTAGTGGCGAAGGGGTACACTCAAAAACAAGGAGTTGATTATAATGAAGTCTTTGCTCCTGTGGCTCGATGGGATACGATAAGGATGGTGTTAGCGTTGGCAGTAAGAAATGGGTAGACAATGTTTCAACTTGATGTAAAAAGTGCATTTTTGCATGGAGAGCTGAGTGATGCAGTGTACTTGGAACAACCGCAAGGTTATGAGAAGGAAGGAGAAGAGCATAAAGTCTATAAACTCAAGAAGGCGCTGTACGGGTTAAAGCAGGCACCAAGGGCCTAGTACAGTAAGATCGAAGGTTATTTTCTCAAGCATGGTTTTGAAAGATGCAGTCATGAGCACACCTTATTCATCAATGCAGAAGAAGGAGAGAAAATTTTAATTGTACGTCTTTACGTAGACGACTTAATCTTTACTAGTAATGATGCTTGTTTGATTGAGGAGTTTAAACATTCGATGAAGTCTGAGTTTGAGATGACAGACTTAGGGAATATGAGATATTTCTTAGGTGTTGAGGTTAAGTAGAATTCGAAGGGTATCCATGTTTGTCAGTGAAAATATGCTCGAGAAGTTCTCGATAGGTTTGGCATGAAAGATTGCAACTCAGTGAGGAATCCGATAGTTCCTGGTACGAAGCTAACTAGAGAAGGTGAAGGAGAGAAGATTGATGCAACTTGGTATAAGCAATTGGTTGGTAGCCTCATTTATTTGACGGCTACCAGACCAGATTTGATGTATAGTGTCTGTCTCATTTGCAGATATATAGCTAATCCATCTGAAATGCCCCTCCTTGCTGCAAAAAGGGTGTTGAGGTATCTAAAGGGAACTGTAAAGCTTGGCGTGTTTTATGAAAGAGGAGGTGAAGATGAATTGGTTGCATTCACAGACAGCGACTACGCCGGTGATCATGATGACAGGAAGAGTACTTCCGAATATGTGTTCAAGTTAAGTGGAAGGGCGGTTGCTTGGTCCTCGAAGAAGCAAGCTGTGATAACACTTTCCACCACAGAGGTAGAGTATGTTGCAGCTGCAGCATGTGCGTGTCAAAGCATCTGGATGAAGAAAGTGCTCAGTCAACTCTGTCCTTCTCAAAGTAAGTGTATTACTGTGTTTTGTGATAACTCATCCACTATTAAGCTGTCAAAAAACCCAATTTTACATGGTAGAAGCAAACATATAGATGCGAGGTTTTATTTTTTACCTGATCTCACTAGAGACGGTGTGGTTGAGTTGAGGTACTGTTGTACAAGTGAGCAGCTTGGAGATATTATGACTAAACCGTTGAAGTTAGAGAGTTTTGAGAAACTTCGAAGGATGCTGGGAGTGAAGCCCTTGACTGATATAAACTGATTGCCTTTGGCAATATCAGTTTAGGGGAGGAATTGTTAGAGATGTTTGAAGACTTCAAATGGTTCGTTGATAGAGTCAGCAGTTTGTTAGGATTCTTTTGGTTCAAGTCAGCAAATAACTCCTACTTCTAAGAAGCTCGGTGTAGTTTGTTTGTTTTTGACTGTTTCCTTAGCTAATCAACCACGATATAAGAGTTTGTTAGATCGTGGGCTGTTTTTATCCGTTTCTGTTACATGTATTGGTTTTATAAGCCAGAACCTTTCACCAATTCAATAAGGTTGTTTTTCATCAAAACATCTGTGTGAGCTTGCTGTGAATTAGTCTCCAACATGGGTGTATGGCCAACGTAAGCATATTATTGCTTCTTACCCAAGTTGCCAAGTAATTATGCTACATCTGAGTTGGATGCTTAACATATTTTGATTTATTAGTGCGTGAACAATTTGTGTGAAATATGAAACATACAAAGAAAATAATGGCACATGGAGATAGAGAATTTTTGAAAGAAAATAAATTTTCAAGGGAGAAGAAAGAATCAAGGGAAGAATTTTAAATTGTTAGAATTTGAAATTTGAAGTTCATATGAAGGTAAACAATAGATGTGAGTACTTATTACAAGAAAAAGTTGCCATATATGTTCTTTTAAGAAAATGTGAAGCCAAGTATAAGTTGATGAGTTTTTACTTTGGATTCATCAGATTCTCAATTTCTTTCTGTACGTCAAATATTATTTTAAATATCTCCGATATAGCCCCATATATTGACTGATATATCCTTTTAAAGGTCCGCCGCAAAATGATACGCCCTCAATATCCTTTTTCGGTTTTTGGCAATATTTGGGCAATATCCCCGATATGACCGACATATCAGCTGATATATCTTTTCATATAGCTTGTTGCAAATCAATATAGTTTTGCAAAATTTCTTTAATGCTTTTTAGCAAAAATTCTTGCTTATGAATATTTTAAGCAAAATTCTAGTCAGCTCTTTTCCCTAAGCAAGTCGTTGCAATTAGCTAGTGATCTTGAATATATATTACTTATATTTTTGTATGCTTAGATTTCATTAAGTATGTCTAGTTTACATTTTAGGGTATCATATTATATACACACATCATCGGATGTGACACTCCAATCTTTACTACATATCCCAAATATTTGCCCGATATCCGCAATTTGATATGAATTTTGCCCTAATGTTTCCCCAATATTCGATATTGGGAACCTTGACCTCAACAGGCCTCTACATAGAAGCATGCTTAAGCTTTGAAAAATGGCATGGCGAGAGAGATAAACCATTATAAGTGCACAAGGTTATGGCTATCGTGTGACATAATACAAAAGCAACAGCATAACCTAGTGCAATAACATAAGCATATCTTTTATATACAACATTGTTTTAAATATCCTCGACATGGCCCGATATATCCCCGATATATCCTTTTACAGGGCTTGCCGCAAGCTCTAAATATCATTTACCGTTTTTGGCTATTTTGAACGATATATCCCTGATATCGCCAATACATCAGTCACTACGTGGACCGATATATCTTTTTATATGGCTTGTCGAAAATAATATACTGCATTTGATAATTTTTGGGTGAGATATCATGATTTTCCCATTATATCAAATGGTATTTTGCCTGAAAAGATTCACACCAAATGTTGCAACGTTGATTTGTACTTTTGTTTGTTTTACAAGGTTGATTTGTGATTCTAAACATATATTATTTACATTTTGAATGCTTAGATTTCATTAAGTATGTTGACATTACATTTTAGTGCATTATACTATATAGCCAAACATCCGTTATGGCATTCCGATATTTACCACATATCTTGATATGTCCTCAATATCTGCACTTCGATATGAATTTTGGCCATTTGATATTTAAAACCTTGATTTACAGTTTTCCCAAATGAATTTGCTCAGAAATTATAGTTCTGTTTTTTCCTCTTTCAAAAAATAGTCTGAATATCTCTGCAAAGTGCAGGATAGATTTATTTTTCCTTAATTTGAGTGTGGTAATCTCACGCTAGTGTATAAATGTTGTTCTTCCAGCAACTAACTTTACCTTTATCTCATTTTTCAGATTTGAATATTGAGTCACCACCATCTATGTATCCATCAAAGAAATTCTGTGACATAACAGGATTTGAGGTATGCGGTTTATTTTACAGCTACAATGATGTTTCAAATACATGGTTGTGGTCATTCTCTGTGTGTTGAGTTCTTATCTTCATGTGTGTGTGTGTGTTGGGGGGGGGGGGGGGGGGGGGGGG